AAGAACAGAAACCAACAAAGCAATGTTAAAGAAGTTTGGGAATACTGTCCTACCAGATATCAAGACTTATTACAAGGTAAGAGATAAGTTGTGTATCAGAGTGAGATATGAAACCTGCGTAGGTGACAAAGGACTAATACAAGAATATACAAAATACTCCAGTTTATAAAATAAGATTTTAAAACTACAAAAGAAAAAAGAAAAAAAAAAACATAAACAGATACTTCACTGGAAGTAAAGTGGTAGGCACTTCCTTCAGAGGAAAACAAATGGCAAATAGCAAATAAGCATATGAAAAAGTGGTCAACCTCGGTAATAATGAGAGGAGTGTATGTTTAAACAATTACATGCTGCTTCACTCAGATAAAAAAAAAACTTTTAAAATTTGATAAAAACAAGCACTGGTGAGGATATAAAACAACTGGAACTTTCAGACACTGATGTCGGGTGTGTAAAGTGGCACATCCACGTTGGAAAGCAATTTGTTGGTATAATCATAAAGTTGCAAAGACAGAAAACCCTAAAACCTGTTGTTTCACTTTTAATTGTGTACTTCAGAAATACTTGGCAATTACAAGTATTTAGAACTTTAGAAATAATTGGCCAAAATTTCCAATTACAAGGATGTTTACTGTAGCACTGTTTAAATAATAAATGTAGACTAAAAAAAGAATGGACACATTATAGCACATTCTTATAAGGGAATACTCTGCCTCAGCAAAAATAAATGAGTTGAAACTACATGCACCAATATAGAGAAATCTCAAAAATGTAATTTGAGCCCTATGACAACATTTATATAAAGTTTAAAAATACAAAATATTATGCTATAATTCACTTTGGAACCATGGATATGTAGCAAAAACAAAAACAAAAAGCAAACATTCATAGCTAAATACCACAAGCAGGACATTGGTTACCTTGGGAAGCATGACGGAGGAGAATTAGATTAAAAACAGATATGCAGGGATTTTCAATGGTACCTAACATGTTAAAGTGGTGATTCCGTGTGCCTGGTGTGTTTCATTGTTAAAAGAAAAACAAAGAGTACTGGAAGGTGGATGGATCAGTTGGGCATGAGGTGAACACCAAGGAAAAGGTGGGAGAAGTGGATGAGACAATCTCATTTGGAGTAGCCTGGGAGGAAAGCCAAGTTCGTACAAGTGATTATTAGGTAAAAGTGGTCTAGAAAGGACTTGAAATGAAAAGACAAAACTTAAAGGTATGTTTGGGAACTTGGAGAGGATATTGAGTTTAGGAGTCACATTTTCAAAGTGAAACATAAGGGCAAAATATTTCATAGCAGTATTTTGTAGTAACTGGTAGAAAAAGAGGACATGGACTGGAGAGTGAAATCTAGTAAGGTTTAATTATTTTGTGAGTGGCTCTGGGGGAAGGATTGGAGGCTTGTTTGCCACATTTTTGGATTCCACAGAGCTGAAAGTGATAAGTAATATATTTGACAGAATCATGATGTTTAAAAGGCATATTCTGGAATGAGGGCTTAAAGACAATAATTTTTTTTTGCATTGTTTAAAATGTGGCAGAATACACTTTAAAAAATTTAAACTTCTGTAATTACAAGTCTTGATTCAACCAGAATGCCTTAGCACATCACAAGATAAATGTGGACAACTGATTTTTTAAAAACACAGAATATTTGACTAGTATTAGTAGTTGTTCTAAGCAATTGGTCTGAGCATTGGGCAACGATAAGTTACAATAATAAATTAGGACTATTCCAAAGGCGGGTAACCAGAATGTTAAGAGTGTAGGCAATACTTGGGAGCTTCAATGAAGCCTTCTCTAACAAGGTAGAAACAAGATTGTCCTTTGAGGATTAAACCAATAAAGTCCACTCGTATGACTGGGATTAGCCAGTACAGGCCTAAACCAAGACATTACTTTTTCATGGATGACTTTGCAAGTGAGTTAGATGTAATCTCAGGGAGGAAGGGCTGGAATGTGATTGCAATGGAGGAGGAAGAAACCTAATCAATAAAAGTATTTCTTATCCAAAGAAAGACTGAGTAAACAGACTTGAGGAGAACAGCATGAAACACACAAGAATTCTGATCTACAGATCAGAGTTATAATTTTCATTGTAAATCAATACATCGTGTTCTAATTTATATTTCCAAGTCTTGTGTTTGGATAGCATGATTTGGATAGCATTTCTCAGGTACCAACAAAATTGAGTTTTCCAGATCTGACAATTGAGGGCTACAACATGAGGTGGTGTAACCTTTCCCTGACACAGGCTCCTTCTTTTTCATGGAAAAACCCAAGAACACTAAGATGTTTAGCTGGGAGGAGACAAGCCAGAGGTGAAACCTGGTGCTTATCTTCAAAAGGTTTAAAGTTTTTCTTGTAGAAATGGAGGGTAGACTCCTTTGATTGTTGGGGTCAGAGACCAGAACAGAGACAACAGTTAGAAAGTACAAAGTAAGATTTCATCTGGCTAAGCAGAGGAACATGTTAACCATTTGAACTCCCAACAATGAAACAGCTATCTCTTTGTCAGGGTTCTTTGATCATAAGCAACAGAAAAAGTCTGAATAAGTACAGCAAATAATAATAATAATAGCAACAATAAGAAGATAAGTGGTGGCCCACATATTTGAAGGAGAAAGTGAAGGACCAGGCCTTAAAAGGAGCAGTGATCAAGGCAGCTACAATGATGGAGGGGGAGGAAGTAAAGTATTGTTTCTTTAGGGCACCGTCCTCATGATAAATCACCCTCTGCTGATACTTTTCTTAAAATTGCTGGGGAAAAACTTCTGATTTTCAAGCTTGGGCTATGTGTCTCACCTCTTCTCTCCCCTACCCCTGATAGGGAAGGGTAGTGGGCACTCATGGTAGGTAACCTTGATGGAGACGCCATCAAGGCTTCATGCAACGGAAAGGGACAATTTACCAAAGGAAACTGAGGAGCAGGTAACAATATCAGAAACCCAGCATATTCTCATCACTGCAAGTGCAGGAGAGGCCACCTATTTTTCAGCAATCTTCTGTGCTGGAAGTTGGAAAAGGCAATTTAGAAGATCCCTTTCTATTCTACATTTCTGAAGAGAAACTGAGAAGTGGAATTGATTACTGAGATCCAAGGTCATTAGGAAAGGCCTAGAGAGGAATAGCTGGGGCTGGATCTGACAGATGGATGGGACACAGCTAACAGGGAAGTAAGCCATAGAGCAGGCATGGTGGTTCCATGTGCTAATCAGAAAAGGCAGATAAGGAGCTGCTGGCATTGGTAACATCAAACTTGATATATATAAATTAGAAGCTACCATTTTTCTTCTGCTCCATGAAGGGGTTATAGATAAAGAAATGGAAGAAGTCAGATGTGGTAAAAGTTAGTACATGAAGAAGACACAACAACTCCTGGCTCTCCAGAACTCCTGGTAGAATGAGATGCTATTTGGACAACTTAAGGAATGGACGATGATCCTAATGACAAGGGACCTGCCAGCCTTAATAGTTAACCAGTGGAGCTATATAATAGAACTGAGTCACCAGTCCTAAAATTCTGAATTTGATGTCTGTGAAACAAGCAATTATGGAAACAAAAGAAATAATGATGGAAACAAAACAAATAACTGGCCACTAGTGACCTCTAGTGGAATTAGGCTTTAGGGAACCTATGTGATCTGATTTCTGTTTTGTTTTGCTTTCCTGTTAAGAAGATGAAAACCCAGTGTAATTTTCAGCCAATTTATTTGAAGAGGACTGTGAAAGAATGGGCTTCTGAAAACAGGACAAAAATCTTACCCAGGAAATGAAGATGTACCAGGAACATGTTGTGCTTTGAGTCAAACTAAGTTGATTAATGTTCTGGAAAAGATGTGGATGAGTAATTGCCATCAAAGACATTACCTGAGAAAAAGAAGAGTTTTTTGAGCAGTGACTTCATTGGTCACTGGGGGGAGTTCGGGACGTTAATGGCAGCCAGCAAGAGAAAATAGGCTTGAAGAGGAGGCTGCATAGGTTGCCAGCATACCTTTCAAATATATCTTCTTTGTAACATGGAAGAGCGCTGTTGTTTCTGAAATACGCACACATTTGCCAGTTCAGTATTGTATGGCTTGAGTCCCACCACTTTCCTCTTCCCAATGGGTGTCTGTGCCAAGTGTTGACAAACACTGCTGAGCTGGGAGGATGTGGGTGGATGCTTGGTGGCCCTAGGCCTTTGACGTGGGACCAGTCTCATGGAGGGTCCAAGTATAATCAAGACGGTCAACATGAAAGCACACTGGGCACTCCACATCCATCCCCTTTGGGAAGTGCTTTCAGAATTCATAATCTTGACATTGAAGAGAAGCAAAGGAATGCAAAGATTGATGGGAGGTTTTACATCTGTCTGATCACACTGGGGACTAATAATGGGTGGGTGGAATTAAATGGCGGGTCCAGGGAGCAGGGGTGTGGGTGGGTAGAAAAAGAAGCAAGGGAAAGATAAAAAATAGAGACAATACAGAAGTAAACAGAATCAGTGTTATCAAGCCCTGGGCAACTGTCACTTCTGGCAGCCGAGCGATTGTTGTCCTTGTCTCATATTACCTGCATGGCAAGAGGTGTCATCCTGCCTTCTTTCATTATTCAGCCTCTCCCACACACCCTGCTCTTGTTTACCGATGCTATTGTGCTGCTCTGCAGATCTGCTTTTCCCTGGATTTGCTCCCTCTCCTCTCAGTGTCATTTCAAGGAAATAAAAATAGCCCCTAAATAATATTTTTGTGAGAATTCCACCCTGGTCTGCAATTTTCAGAATTCTGGTCTTTGTGAGTGGGCAAAAGACAATCTAACTGCCCCCGCTAAGCCATAACTTCCCTACTGTTATTTCTTAGATGCCAACAAAACCACAGAGCAGAGTTAAGAAAGACCAATATTAGTGGTATTTCCTCTTTCCCCTGCAAAGATTCTTCTGCCAGGATATATACAAATCTCTAGCTCTAGGATAGGCCATTTCAGAGATGTAGTCTGTAAACCAGTTTACTTACTGAAGATGAGCTAATTATCTTAATTTGCTCCAAAGCTTCTGTCAGGCTGTCTTCAATCTCAGAGTCATCTAAGGAGAAGAGGTCCCCAGCTCGTGAAAGATCTTTTTGTCCCAAAACCAGTCTGAACAGTTGATGCATGGTGAGGAGGAGTTTGATCAGTTGACTTTCTACAGACCCAGAGCCATGTGTTTCAGTTATCAGAGGTCAGTAAGACAAAAACATGTAGCAGGAGGTATACTTCTTATTCCATGAAAGATCATTTTTCTCCAGACTTTGAGGTCTTCATTGACACTCTCTGCAAGGGAAACAAATGACACAATATAGCCCCTGGCAGAATGGCATAAGCTCAGAATGTGAACTCGGTGTCCAGCGGAGAGAGAGAAGAAAGAAACTTGGAAACATGTGCCTGGAGTAATAGATCCCGGCTTAATGATCTTTAAATGAGCTCTTTCCTTGTTTTTGTCTCAAAAAGTCTTGTCAAAAATTACTAGGTTTCTCCAGAATTTAATTTGAGCTTTAAAAGTTAACATGAGCCCCACACTTTTCTCCTTTCTATATCCTTCTCTTCTCTCCTTGTCACAAGGACAAACAATAATCATGCCTAACACTTGCCAGATTTTCCTCAAACAGATTCTCATGGGAATCAAACAGAAAGGGAGAACAAAAGGAAAAGAGGGAGCATAGGAAACATCTCCTAGACCCACTTCCTAGAACCCTTTCTTCCAGAACCTGGACACAGAAACCAGTGCTTACCCTCTTGGTTGGGCTGCCTTGCTATGCTAGCAGTAGAAGATCCCCTCTCTGTCAGTCAAAAAGGTGTCCTCAGTACTTACCCTACTCCTACGTACTCTATAATCAAGTAGTAATAAAATAAAGGATGCTGCTTAGGAGAATGGCATTAGATAAATCTCTACTGAACATGAAGATGAACTTGAACACTTAAATGAACATGATAGCCTTGGCATGAAGGCTAAAAGGAGGGCTTTGAGATCAGGCAACCCTCCCTCTATTCCAGTTGAAATAATAAAGTCCCACTATATTTTTCACCTAATTAACAGTCTACAGAGAGGAGACCAAAGGCACAAACTAGACATCCGATTATTCTCATCAGCTCCCTTCTGGGCCTAATAAAATCACAGACCATTTGCACTGGTAGAGACCTTAGTAATCATTTAATGGCCAGTGAGGTTTAATGACTTCCCCAAGGCCCCATAATAGCTGCGGCAAGGATAGTCTCCTGATTTCAGTCCAGTGCGCTTCCCTCACAGTTTACAGTAGAGGGGAATCACCTCATACATGTGGGTAACTTACAAATGCAGCCACATGCTTAGTGAGAGCCAAGAGTGAGTTATTTAATATAAGCAATAGGCAATTCTGCCTAGCATTTTACTCTGAACGTGTTTGTCAGAAAGAGTGTGAAAAGGGAGAGGAGAATCTGTTGTTCCCTTGGGTAGTCTCAGCCCTCTCCTGTGAGCTATTGTTGTGAGAGCACCTCTTTGTGTTGAATGCAAGTTTAAAGACACATACTCTTCACACAACATGGCCTCTAAATACAAGCCAAATCTTTAATTAGACACTCAACTAAATAAGCTACCTGTAGTATTCTAAGTGGTACAATTCATGAGTCATAGGGATTTTAAGGAAAATACTGCCTATATGCAATTTTTGTACTATCTACCAGCTTTTGAAAAATGAAGCCTGATACTTACATGCCTTTATCTATGTACCAGGCAAAAACACTTTGTAAATATTAACTTAACTAATCCTCATAACTATATGAAGATATATCATCCCCACTTTGTAGGTGAGCAACCTGAGGTAGTTAAATAACTGCTAAAGTCATGCAGCTACCAAGCTGGAGAGCTGGAATTTGAATTCAGAGACCCCAGTAGTACTAGACTCCAAGTTCATAACCATTATGAAATATTGACTCCATGTAAGATGTGAAGCTACTATAAGGAGTAAAGGTCCTCAGAGCATTATTAATATTTAGTGATGAAGGTGTGAGCAGGGTTATTAAGCAATGAAATAAATTCCTGTGCCATTCTACACTGCTCCTGGGTCCTTGCCCATTCTATGCCCTGGGATTTAGAGCAACCAGAGAGCAAGAGAGTCACAAGGAGAAGATGCTTGGAGGAAGAGCAAAGGAGAGTGGTAAGCTTTCAGAGGCAGGTGGAGCACAGAGTGAGGTACTGCAAAGTAGTTTGCACCCTGGGAAATGTGGAAGAGTGTATCACAATATCTCTAAGAAAAATCGGCACAGTGTTTTCCTACATTTTTCTCTTAACACATTTTCCTTCCAGGCTCAGATATTTACAGTGACAAGAGTCTCAATAAAATAATATTCAGGAAAACTGGATGGAAATGACTTCACTTGACCTGTCAGTTTGTTGGACATGTGGCACTCCATGCAGTACATTCAGCTGCCCCAGTCATAGATGCTCAGGAGCTCCAAGAAGGAGCAGAAATATGTGCTGGTACAGAGGAGCACCCCCAGGCTTTTCCTGGGCTCTTTCTGCACACTTCACACTTACATGACACCTGGTGTGGAGTCCCACATTCATGCTTCCAACTTCAGCTGTTACTCTGGAGGGCCCATCGCATGCAACACATTGCTTTGGGCCCTAAACAGAAACATCAAGTTGTTTAACACACAGCCATACAGGAAAGCTTTCACAAACCTAGGGGTGGAGTGGGGAGAGGTGGAACTTGCACATTATTTTACAAAGGGCTCCTTTGCACATTTTCAACAGTGATCTTCAAAACACCTTCTACAATATGGGAGTGATCAAGAGAAAAATCTCCTGGATAACACAAAAAGAAGTTTGGGGAAGTACAAGGGAGAGAGAAGTCACTTCCAGGGGAAGATGATAATGAATAGCTTCATGGAGGAAATGGCATTTGAGAAGCACCTTTAGGATAACTAAGATTTTTACAGATTTCATTCAATGCACTTGTGCTGAGTTCATATTAAGTCATCTGCTCATCTAGGAACCGAAGGTCAAGTCCCAGCTCAGCTACTCTGTGATTATGGGACCTTTAGTTCATGTTTTTTTCCTTTCTTGAGCCTTGGTTTTCTTATTTGCAAAATGGGGCTAATACACACCTCGTCTGTTTCATCAGGGTGTTTTGAGGGTCACAGGTGATAATGCGTAATGGAGTCCTTTATAAAATAATGGCACAACTGACATTTGGTGGGTGTTTGCCATGTGTCAGGTACTTATCTCAGTGCTTCCCACATACTGAGCCACTTAATTCTTATGACAATTCCATGCAATCAAAAACTGATGTTTAGAGAGGAAAGTAACCACCAGCCTTCAAGAGGCACTTGAAGAGTAAGTTGCCAGGTTAGGATTGAAGGCAGCTGGTCTCCCAGGATAGTTGTATTCATGACTGTGTGAGATAATTATTATTGAGCTGCCTCCCTTCCCATCAGCTCTCATTCAGTGAGTACCTCCACATGCTGCACATCCCTTCCTAGATAAGGACTGGCAAGGCACATTATTTATTTTTCAGCAGCTCTCATTAATATTTTGCTCGGCTGTCTGGCTTCTCCTGCTGGTCTTTTTGCAATAGCAGGGAAGGTCAGAGCCAGATCAAATTCTACCTCATGTTCTGAGAAACTCCCTACCCTTATGAATGTCATAGTCCTGTGGCCTGTGTGCATGTGTACATATACATGCACCATATACACACAAGCACACCATATACACACATGCACATATGTGCACATACGCAAATACTTTCTACACATCAACCTTTTTGCTAGACACTAGACGCTTCTCTTAGTTCTCCCATCAACTCTGCAGGTAGGTATTACCACCTAAGAGGAAACAGGACCAGTGAGGTTAAGTATTATGCCCAAGGTTACACACAGAGCCAATATTCACATTCAGGTAGGCCAGACTCCAAAATTTCATACTTTGTGTATGATTTTAAAAACTGGTTTATACAATTCTTACTGCCTTTAATTTGCTTCCTTCATAATTTCTTTCCCCAATCTTTAAGGGGTTCTAATCTGAGGCCCACCTTCTCCTTATTTAGTTTTTTTTTTTTTTTTAAACAGGTATTTGCTGGCGAATCAGCTTTCTGTAAGGAGAAACAGAAACCACAAAAACAGAAATGACGGCGCCAAACACGGCACATTTCAGGGAGTTACAGCTGTCCCGCGCAAACTCGACTTTACCTGCGTGCTACTCCTCAAAGGCGCCCTTGCAGTTACTCAGCTGCATGGTTTGAGGCTGGGCGAGAGATTCAGGCAGGCTCCAAGGGCACAGCGAGTGGAATCCGCTCAGCTCAGTGAACCTGAAGTTGTTCATTGCGGAGCCGGTGCCCGGTGGAAGAATTCAAGGAATGCAGCCTGATGCCACCGGCAGCCCCAGAGACCGGTCAGGTGACAGGCTGCACCTCACCCAGCGGAGTTACCTCCCAGTGCAATGCTCTGTTTCCTGGGGTGAAACACAAAGCCTGCCCCAGTAAAGGAGAGTTGTTTTTAACAGAGAAAACAGAACTCCCTGTGTTCGTGAAAATCTATACTTTCCCAGGGAAGAATGGGGGGCGGGGGCGAGCCACGCAGGAAACAATTTTCAACAGGAACTCAAGCAGGTGAACGGAATGGCTGTAGGGAGCCACCTCTCCGAGCCCCAGGGGAGGAGAAGAGAACTGCAGCTTCATTAACACTTCCCTCTCCCTGAGATTTCACACACGTTTTGGAAACTGAGTGTTCCTCCAGCAAGGGTCACCTCCTAAAGAAAGTATCCCTTTGCTCTGCTTCTAGAGTAATATTGTTGAAAGTTTAAGTATGCGGGAAATTGCTAAGAAACAGAACAAACTTCACAACATACATACTCTCTTTTTTTCGTTATTTGCTGGAAAGCTTTTCATAAAAATCCACGTGGACCAGATATACTGGATTTGTACTTTTAAATATTGCAGCAACACTCAGGAAAAAGGTTTATCCTGCTTAATCTACTGACACTCCGATGGAGAAAAAGGCACTGGAAACTTCCTTTATTCTTTAAACAGTTAACAGTGCACTTTAAAAAGCAAGGTTTTTAAAACTGCATTCTTCTCAACCCCTAAATCATCTGTTCCTGTGGTAGATCTATAGCTATCAAATCATCTCTCTTCTGGCAATGCGTACAGGCAGCTATCCTGCAGATAATCTCATCTTTGTGCTCACTGAAAGGGTGTGATGTGTCTACTCAAAGGGTGTGGTCAGGGTGACCACAGTTAAAACAGGTCATGTGTTCCAGGAGAACGACCTCATAAATCTGCCTAGACAGTTGGTGATCAATCATATTTTTATGACATCCACATTTGGAGAACTATCCCCTTGAAGAATCCCTTTATAAAAATCAAGAATCCAGTCATTCATGAGTAGCTGTATTTTTTCATTAGTAGTTTTCTAATTTACAAGATATTAATGAAGGCTCCTCTTTTAATGGAATAGAGGATAATGCTTTAGCCTTCCCTTTTAATCCTTTATTCCTTATTACTGATTTTTAATCCCTAGATTTTTATAGTTTTATTTTTTTAAAGGGTGTAGAGTCCTGAATTAGACACTCTATGGGACTCCAGTAAGAAGAGCAGAGTGATAAGAGTATGGGAACCTAGACTCAACTGGGTTCCAAACTCAGCTATGCCATTATCTGCAGTGTAAATGTGGGCAGGTTAATTAGACTCCCTGAGCCTGGAGTTCCTTCTTTGCTCCTGACGATTGTGATATGGGTTGTTGGGAGGTTTAAGGAGATGATGTAAAACATTCAACACAGAGCCTGGCATATGACAACCATAGAAGAAGTGTCAGCATTCATATCCTTAGGAGTACTATTATTCCTATAGATGGTCCACCAGTTAACACATCCCCATGCCATACCTTTTAAAAATTAATACACAACTGTACTGTTCACCAAATTGAGTTCACAGAGCTAAACATGTTTAGGTTGTTTCCATTTGTGCCATATTTATACCTTTGTTGTCCTTTCCCTATCTTAGTCATCCTGTCCTTACCTCTGGGTTGTTCACTTTTCATCTGTAAACTTCACTCTCTTGAATGTGTCCCTGTTGATTTTGGTAACCTTATCTTGTTTCCTGGAGAGATAGTTTTACCGTGATCCTACCCCCACCAAGATTGAACAATAACAGTGAATGTTTTTACAGAGCAGAAATGGGCCAGGATACAATGTATCTCAAACTTTTTATGGCTGGGTAATCCAAACACCTGAGTTTTCCATGGAAGTGTAGAACTCCTTCTCATGTTTGTTAGTGAGAAAGGAGTGCCCGTCCAGGGCTCCAGCTACTTTCTTTACTACTTTTCAAGGTGACCTACACTCAATGCCCACTAATAAAACATTAGTGGCTTACTCTATTATGCATCTGTAGATTTTGCTAAATGAAAATATACGTGAACCGGAGGACTTAATCACCACACTATTGGGACACTGCCTGTAGAATAATTGAAACTCTTGGGGGAGATTTCAGTCACCATAATTAACTCAAGAAACCAACTTATTCTGAAGAATTCAGTCTCTAGCTTACAACTTAGGTTGGGCTATACCCTGGTTTCCTCACTTTAGAAAACTCTAGAACGGCAATATTTGTTTACATTATGCTTTAGACTACATTACTCTGCATCAAAACATTTTCGTTTTATTCACTTGCATTAAAAATGCTCATTAACAATCTGAGACCTATTTGGGCTCTAGAAACTTTCAATAAAGTTCTCAGATTTTTCCCTTGAAAGAAAGGATTAAAGATTCTTTTGAAGGAGCATCTTTTTCACACCGCGTGAAAGGACTACAGGAGTTCCCATGGGAATTGGCTGCATACATTTCAGCCCTTCCCACAAGATGTCTATTGTTCCCTGGATGTCTCTGGGCTTCCTTGGCTGTGGCATGCTGCTACACTTCACTTCTACTGAAAGCCTCTGAGGCTGGCTTATTCCAAGCGATGCTAAAGGACTCAGCCCTGTCTTTTTGCTAGAGTGCATACAATCAAAGTTTGTAGCAGGCTTATTTCATAAGTACATGAAAAAAATAGGTTTGGTGACCTATTTAGTCAAGAGCCCAAAAAACGACTTAATTTTGATTATGTATTTCAACTTATTAAAACACAAATAGGAAACATTTCCTTCAAAAAGAATGAGAAATACTTATCTTCAAGTCTAATAAGCTTTCCAAAATCAAGGCTTTTGTGACTTGTCATAGTTTTATAGTGTATTCATTTTCACATGTAAATTTTGACTTTGCAGGTCATTTTTGCTCTGGAATAATACAAATCTTGCTGAAAAATCCTAATTGAAATTTTGTGGGTTTGTTCTTCCAGATAATGTACCCAAACTCTCAAACTACATGGAAAACTCAATGTTAAATGTATCTTCATTTACATTTAAGTTTCGTATACTAAATATCTATATGACCAACTTAAATATTTCTCTAAGTATTTTTTCTGCTTTCTAAATCGAAAATATATAAATGTCGTTTAATCCAATCATTGATTACTACAGTAATTTAAGTGTGTATCTGAAAGAATTAAAAAGTGGTTAGATTTAATTATGATTCGTAAGACATCTGAAACACCAAAGGAAAAAACAGCAGCAAAAACAAACAGTAATGGTGACCCTGTTCAACCCACTGACTGTAATGATGCTACAGTATTTAATTTTCTTTGAAAATCCGTAGGCAGAGCCAGTTTCTTTGCTGGTTGCAAAATGTTGATTGAGGTAAACAAAAGTATAAAATAGAAATGAGACTAGATTATTACAGAGTAAAACAAAAATGCACATAATATGAATCTAGAAGCACAGCTTTCTGCTCCTGAGGCCTAGAGACATGTTTTAATAACCCACAGAGAAGTGGCATTTTTACCCTAATAACCAAAATGCCTGCATACATGGCTAGACACACAGCTCCCAAATGTGCTTTATCTGCATAATCAGCCAGCCCCTGGAAGTTTCTCAGCTCCTTTCTCCTATCCCCCACTCTGCCTTTCTGCAGCCTCTGACATTTACTTTAATTAGCTTTTGTTTTTGCTGAACAAAAGGGCATGAAAGAAGATAGCCATACCTCTTTGCACAGGAATCTCTGGTCATAGAATATAGAAGGCAAAATCCTTGATCTTTAGAGCACTGCAGCTGGGACCCATGACTATGCTCAGAGGCAGTCTTGCAGCTGCTGCCCAGTCCTGTGGGCTGCAGCCGCGTCTCCCTGAGCTGCTTGTCAAGCCAGTGGTACACTTCATTCCCTCCCCATGGACTCACCGTGCAGAATCCGGCAAATGAGTAACTTCTCTTCTCTCTCCCAAACTTCTGCTTAGACCTAACAATTGGCACAAAGCTTCACTTATTTCTACACTAGATTTACAGATTTCTCTGAGCAGATCTGTAGTTTGAAAGAATTGGATTTGCCTAACAACCAGTAATTTAGGTTCTGTTAATGAATAACTAACTTTAAGAAATCAAGGAAGTTTTAGGTTAATATCAGATGTGGGGCCTTTTAGTAGACATCAGGAAAAAGGCTTGGGGAGGGAATGGAGGAAGGGAAGCACTGGAATGAGGTGGTATTTAAGCCAAATATGATAGAAGAAAAATACCACAAAAGAAGCAAAAGGGCTAGTGTGAAGGAGCCCAAAAGTCTATTTATACTATTGGTATTGCTTATGAAACACACAACTGAATGAAACTTCCCTGGTAGCACTAGAGGTTTTTCTGAACCCTCATGGTTCCTTCTTGCATCCACCCAAATTTCTAATTCCCTTTCTTTTACCATCCAAATATAGAACTCCTCTTTTCAGACCTAATTCACTGAGGATCCCTCACAAGCACTCCCATATCGCCTCATCTCTCTCTCGTAAGGAGAATGCACTTTAAAACCTCTAATGCATAAATTAATTGATGGTGCCCAGTGGATTTTTATATCTGGAGGCTCTTCTCTCCCTTTAAGTGTATGACATGGGCTTTCTTCCCTTATTGATCTGAGGTTTTGCCTACACACAAAGTGATAAAATATTTCTGAGCCTCTCCCGACCAGAGCTTTCAGTCAAACCATGTGAGGGTAACAGTGAGGGTGGGGGCGGGGGCTGCAGAGGGGAAAGTCAGGTGTAAGGTGTACAAGTGGACATATAAAGATTTCCATTCAGTGGCAATCATGCTGCATGTAAAAAAATTACTGGCCCAATTAAAAGGACTCTTCATGGGGTGAAGATTACTTTCTCTTGTGTTTGCCACTCAACATTCACTTACTCTACTTCTAGTCAAAACTGCACCCATATTTCCTTTGGGAAACCATGTCCTTTGGGTAGAGTTGATGCCCATAAACAGGATGAGGCTTAATTGGTCTTACCCAAATTAGAGTAATTGCATTCCTGTGATCATAGTGACTAATGCAGAGGAGGTGTGTGACTCCTTCTAGGCCAATGAGAGGACAATGATGAATGCTCAGCTTTGGGAGAAAAAAGTCTAAGCTACTGGGCTTGATGATAAGAAGGTATAAGGTCTGGCTGCAATTGCCCTCTAGCCACCAAGAAAACTGTTGACTTCATTTGGGTCCCTTAAACCACCTGCCCCTAATGCTAGCAAGGTCTACTCTTCAGTGTACAC